GAGCAGAGCTGGCGAAGGAGGTTATTTCGCTTTAACTACGTTTTGATCGTCAGAGAACCGCGGGGGAGAGGGGGCACCCGAGGAATAACCTTCAGGGCCGCTTGCTCGCTGGCGAGCACGAGTCCAGCCCCGGCAGTTTGTGCCGCGAAGGCAACCCCCCAAACTCACTTTATTTCTCTGTTCTACCCTTTTTATTGCCTTTTTTTAATGTATATATTCTATCCCCATTTGCCATCGGAGCATATTCCCCCATGCCAGGGCTGGATGCTGCTGTGGGCTGGGGCAGGGACCGCGTGTGGCATAAATCCCCAGCTCAGCCGAGCAGGGCTCAGCCCTAAACCCAAACCTTTCCAAAATATCTACCAGTGCAATTAAAAAACCTGCCTCAAATTCCCTAATAATTAAGGAAGAACGTGACACAGCCGGCCCATATTTTGTATCTGCAGCTGAAGGGCGGGAGGCGGATGCCGGGGCACATCTGCATCGAATCCCCGCTCCGTCTCTGTTAGCAATAACCTCCGCAGGTGCTGGGGGTTGTGTTGTCTTCGCCGCTTACTGCATCGCCATATACACGCCAGATCTCTTCCCTCCGTGAGAAGTCTCTTAAATTAAATTGCCTTTAATTGGTTTACAGTTCTGCTTCTGCCGCGTCCGCATATTGGAAAATCGAAAGCTCTCCAGACCGAAATACTTTACGATCTCGGTTTCCATTTCGTTAATATTTTCCAAGCTGGTTTCCTGTTTTCCTGTTGCCAAAAAAACACATTGGCAAAGAGCAAAATAACTCACATACCGAGGGTTTGAAACCATTGTTTCTGCCCAGGAATTAGTGAAAAGCCGATACTTTTTTTATCAGCAGACCCCGCTGTGATCCTCGCTCTCCCCGCAGATGGGTTTTTAGCACCATTTACTGGCGCGGGGAGGAAGCCCGATGCTCACATGGATTTGGGGTCCATAACTCGAATACCAGGGTCTACTTCGCTTTGATTGAGAAACAATATTTTTCAGATCCCGGCAGAAGCGGGTGTTCTATCCTCATCAGTACAAAACTATTCCGTCGTCGGGCAAAAATAACAGGGAAGCTGTTACAGGGCAGGCAAAGGGCTCCGGGATTTGAAAATTTCGCTCTGTCTAGAGTTACTCCTTTCAGGGCTCAAGTCAGTAGAAAAAATTCATGGTATTGTGAAAGGCCAGGAAGGGAAAAACCTTTTTACCGGGGCATGCAGCCAAGGCAACTTAGCAGGCTCCATATCTTGCACATCCTGACAATTTTCTATGTACTTAAGCTATTAAGCTGCCCGTGCCCCGACTGTTTCTGCTCCGCAGCTCCGGAGATGCAAACCTGGGAGTTAAGAGCTTGAAGTTTGGAAGAGCTGATGATTAAAACCTGGAGCAAATCTTGCAATAGTCCCGTGGGAATTTTTTTTCGTGCAGGGAGAACCCCAGGGAGATGCTGGAGGAGCATCCCCGGCCGGCGCTGGCTGCCGGGATGAGCGGCTCCTGGGGTGCCTGGGGGGTTGAGTACCCGGTAAAGAAATAATAGGAAAAAATCCTCCAAATCAGGCTGATTCCTGTCAAGGATATGATAAATTGCAATATTTTCTATTACATTAATTTAAAAAAAAAATACAGGAGAAAAGGTAAACAATAAATATTTCCTGAGGAGTGGCCATTTTATGAAATAAGGACCAGCTTTTGAAGGAAAACACAAAAAAAAGGGAGAGGGTAAGTTTGGCTAGGGCACGGAAAACCTGTATTTTGCCAGTTTAGCTCAGGGTTGAGTGTTTCGGAGAGGGCAGAGGTAGATTCCCATCTCCTGCCCTCGACGGCAGCCCTGCCCCTCGGCGCGGGGAGCGGGATCCACAAAGAAAATAAAAAAGAGGAAACTCTGCGTTTACAGACCCGCGTTCCTCGTGTCGCCTTCCTCCGCGCAGCTCCAGGCGGCTTCGGAGCAGTTTCGTGGTGGGCGAGCAAGCCCTCCCCGGGCAGGAGGAGAGCCGGCTGCAGCCGAGGGGAAAGAAAACCAGATAAATACGTGATATTTAAAATATCAAGGAGCAAGCGATGGGGTTTGCTGGTCACTGGCCACCTCCGAGAGAGCCTCAGAATGTAATATGAGGATAGGCGACGGATTTGGGACAAATACAACCCAAACCTGATGCGGCTTCGCCTCCTCCAGCCTATTGCAATAGTCAAGGTTTAGAGGAAAAGGCAGAGAAAATCTGGGCTGCTCCTATGGCGTTTTCATGTTGATTTTTGTTTGAGTGATTAAATTTAATGGAGTTAATTCTAATTTACACTGGCAAGCCCAGAAGAAGATAGAAATAAGGATGGGAGGAAGGAGAAAAGAGGAATAATTTTAATTAAAAAGAAGAATTGGCCAAAAAGCTCCTACAACATGAATTTATTTTTAGGAAAAATCTGGGAAAGAACGATAACCATTTTTATCGCTTGATGCTCCAAGCACTTATTGTTGATACAATTTGATGAACCAGTCGTTTTATCCCAATATTGGAGTTTAACATAAAAAACAATGAAAAGTGTCTGCTGTTTAAAAAAAGAACAGACAAATAAACCCCAAATATTTGACTAAATTTTGGCTGAGGGAATGAGGGGGGGGAGGAGGGGGAGAAAGGAGCCGCCCGCTCTCCCAGCCTCACCCAAGCTCCCCCGGCCGGTTCCGGATCAGGCCCTCGATCGCTGGCCCCACATTTAACTCGCTCTCTGGATGCACCTCCCTCCCTTCGCTAGGACAAGCACTAAACCGCTCACTTTGGAAATAAAATCAGGAATATTTTCTTTTCCCCTGTGATTTTCTACTGCACGGCTTAAAATCCATGATTTAAGAGCGGTATCTTATTAGTGATTGCTTTATAAAATATGAATTAAACAATAACTGGAGTTAAATAAGCCTCGGTAGTCACCAGCTCTTAGAGCTAAACGTTCCACCTTCCTGCTTCAGGGACATTAAGTAATTTTCTGTATTTGCCAGTAAAACTTTTCAGTGCCAAAACTGCAAAGAAGCAAGCCCAGCCCCAGGTCTGTCCCTGCTGCCCGGCACCACGAGAGCTTTTCTTCCTCCACAGAACTGAATCGCCATTAGCGGTCACATCCCAACCCCATGCCAGCCATTTCAGTTTCAATTTCAAAATTGCAGGTCAACTTATTAAGGCACTTTGTCTCCGGCATATGCAATAATTTCTATATAGAGGGGGGAAAAAAAAAAAAAGAGAGAAAATTAATTTCCTTCACCCTGCTCGAGTTGCAGAGGAAATTCCACGTTATCACTCCAGAGAGCACCCGCAAAAGAAAACAGGGAGAAAGTAATCTTTTTTTCCGCTCATAAAAATAACCCGACTACAGCGTTGCTTCCTCCCGGCCGAGCGGGACGGGCTGCACACGCGGTCTTTGGGATGCACTGGAAACCAGCAGTCGCCAGAAACCAGTAAACCAGAATATTTTCTATTTTCCCCCACCACCACACCATCTTCCCAAAGCCCTGCCCGAGTGCCGGTGCCGGGGAGCACTCGCGTCCGACTCCCCAAGCAATGAGCATCACGGGAAAAGGGGGCCACAGGCCTGGCCTCAGGTGCAGCAAAGCGTGGGTGCCTCCTGGCAGGCTTTGGGGGGGGCGAAAGCGCGGGGTGGCAGACGGGGCCGGGGAGCTCCGCTGGCGCGGGTTACCGCCATAAAACCCTGACCGTCCCCAAATGTGCGTGGTGCTGGCACCATCCAGCAGCCGTGTGTCGGCACCCCCAAGCCCCAGGGTCAGCACCCCCGAACCCCAGTGTTAGCATCCCCAAACTCTGGTGTTAGCACCCCTAGACCCTGGGGTCAGCACCTCCAAAACCCAGTGTTGGCATCCCCAGACCCTGGGGTCAGCACCCCTAAACCCTTTGTGTCAGCACCCCCAAACCCTGGCTGGGGTCAACACCCTTACACCCCAGTGTTAGCACCCCCAAACCCTCATGTCTGCACCCCCAAACTCCAGTGTCAGCACCCCCAAACCCTAGTGTTAACACCCCCAAACCCTTGGTGTCAGCATCGCCCAAGCCTCTGAGCCAGCATCGCCCAAATGCCTGTGTTCGCACCCCCAAACCCTCATGTCTGCACCCCCAAACGCCTGTGTTAGCACCCCCAAACCCTTGGTGTCAGCATCCCCCAAGCCCCTGAGCCAGAATTGCCCAAATGCCTGTGTTCGCACCCCCAAACCCTGGTGTTCGCACCCCCAAACACCTCTGTTCGCACCCCCAAACCCCGCCGCCAGCATCCCCAGTCCCGTGAAGCACCCCACCGGTGCTCCTGGCACCGCCGCTGTCACCAGTCCCCTGGCAGGAGCGGGTGGGTGCTCCTGGCACCCACTGCCCGCCCTGGCAGCGTTAATGGACGTGAGGACCCGGGCTGAGCTGGAAGGAGCTCGCAGCAAGGTCCCGCGGCAGCCCCTTCCGAGGGGTTTTAATCCAGCCCCGCAGTAAAACCAGTACGGACCACAGTGTAGAGAGGGCACGCAAGGACCTGGCGTGGTGGCACCGTGGCCGTGGGCAAGAGGCCGGATCCATCCCGCTCCCGCCCCGGGCACAGGGAGGTGGCACCGGCCTCGCCACGTCCTCTGCTACGGCAGAGAGCAACGCTGACCGGCGCGGAGAGCCCTGAGGCCGGCCGGCGATGCACTTGATAGCAAAGGTAAATATTATCTCAATATCTCAACCAGCTTATTTGGTGGAGTAATATGCAGCGTTGAATTCCTGGTTTGGAAGATTACCAAGAATTAAAACGCGCTGATTCCAGCCCAAAAGAGACCAAGTCTCTTCCCTTCCCACTTACCTGCCTGCCACCCACCCTCCCCTCCCCAAAATGCTGTTTATGCAGGAAAACAGTCAAGAAGAACGGCATCGAGTCGTTCAAAGAGCTTTGTTTTGACCGTGCACAACCCCCCTGTTTTGCTTCAGTTTAACCATATATGCTTTATATTTTTTATTACCGAAAAAGCAAGTTTCCACCCTGCCCGGCGGCCGCCGGCTCGGGGGACGCTCGGCCCATCGCACGGCTCCCGTGCAGCTTCCCCCCGCGCCTCTGCCCCTGCAACGCCGCCCACGGGAAGGCGATCACACCTCTCTGCATCGGCATTTCGGCGTTTATTTTTTTTGTGGGTTTCCACGGGTTTGTTCATTGCTGCCAGCTCGTTATAGCTATTTACCGCGTTACAAGGTTCATTCAAAGAAATTCAAGAAAGCCTCATGGGCTGGACACCGACACTGCAGGGTGAGCGTGTTGGAGGGATGGGTTAAATCCAACCTCTAAGCGCAAGTCAAAAGAGGGGAACAGCGTTTGCTGGACAGATGCTGCTTGTCCCCCTGCAGGGACCACGCTGATCCATCGCACACCCCATCCTTCCCTACCGGCGAGTTCAGAAGGGATGCAAAGGAAAAACGCCTGGCATACCGCTTGCTATTTGCAACTCAAGTTTGCTTTTATGGTTTAAAACACTGAAGCGCCGCTTCATTTCACCCGCCCGTGGGCATTTTCCGCTCTCTTCCAGGAGCGCAGCACCTGGGTGCTGGCACTCAACATCATGCTGTGATGGGAAGAGGTCTTTGGAAGTGAATGAATTCACATTGGATCAGGAAAAACGCCTGGCATACCGCTTGCTATTTGCAACTCAAGTTTGCTTTTATGGTTTAAAACACTGAAGCGCCGCTTCATTTCACCCGCCCGTGGGCATTTTCCGCTCTCTTCCAGGAGCGCAGCACCTGGGTGCTGGCACTCAACATCATGCTGTGATGGGAAGAGGTCTTTGGAAGTGAATGAATTCACATTGGATCGGGGGACCCCGTTATTAGCCCTTAAAAGCTCCTTTCACTGGTGGCAAAGCAAGGAGGCAGAGCTGCTTCTGGCGGGGCGGCTCGTGCAGGGGGGGGGCTCAGGGCTGCCGCCGCCGGGGGGGGGACCCCGG